CTTCTGACGATTGATAATATCAATAGTAACAATACTAATAACAGGAAAAACTGATATGATAGTAAAAGTACTACTAATCGTAATGATGGTACAAAACCCTACTCAGGTCCGCAAAAGTCTTGCGCAGCTGGATTTATCTACGTGCGAGGCCAAGGTCCGCAGCGTGGTTTACGCGACTTTTGGATGCTAGTCGCGGACTACATTTCCTTGTAGGCAGCAGCCTACACGATATCAGTGTGTCGTAATGCGCCCGCAGTGTATCCGAGTGCTTCCAGAGTTTTTGGCGAGCGTGTCTAGGTTAATGGGGAATACTGGTGAGTGTAGAGATAAATGTTTGTTCGGTGTGTACTGGAGGGACCATACATGCAAGTTTCTAGCCACGAGGCAAAATAACAGCAACTCCAACTAGGATAAGGTTAGTTCGCAAAATGTGCTTGTATAATCCTTCAACGGGACGCCTCTTGGCTGCACATAATCCCCGTACATATCTAGGCCGCTGGGCACCCGGTAGTGAGCAATGTTTCGCGGCTGATGTGATGAGAGTAGCGAAGGTCATCCTGTTCCCTTAAGAATGTGTATATGTATATATATATATCTAGATTTGCAGGTATCTTGACGTATTTGGTCTGGGTCTTAGAGTTAGAAGAAAAAAAGCATCGAATGGAAAATGCAATTGTAACAACAGTTATATAGGGAGTAGAATCCGTCCCGAAGAATAAACCCCTACGACCACCCCCTACGCCATAAATTTCCACGATTATGCATACTATGATTCTACATTGGGAACAGGTTGATCATAGGAGGCAGTTCGGAATAACCCCAGGTTCGGTTTAGGGCTTACGGCTTAGGATTTAGCGTTTAGGGTCCTGTCTGACGCTGCAGCATGAAGAGACCTACTTGCAGGTTTCGGGTAGTGATAACCTAATGGTAATGGCATGAACAACCCAGCTATGATTCTATTAGCAGACTTGAGGGGCTTGGGTTCGCAGACCCCTGGGAGGATCTAGGAAGTAGATCCCCCAAAAAAGGGTTCCTAGAAATTATCCAATAGCAGTATAGGGTACCATATTAGGGGTTGTACTGTCTACATCATCCCAGGGGCTTGGGTATGTGGGGATTGCAAGGAAATTATTGGCGTCCTTCTTCGGGGTTGCTAAAGGATTACTCTGAGCAACTCCTTCCTGTATTCTAGGTAGCCCAAGATATAACCAGGTAGTATCCTTAGTCTCTTAGAAATCCAAGCTGCCGCTGTAGAGGAATGGGCATGCCACCGTTTAATCATTCTTCTTGCTGTTGTTGGAACCGCTTACCCTGAAGCACAAGCCCTACACCCTAAACCTGGATCATTTGTTAGCTATGCTATCTGTCTTGATGAAACCAACACCCAAAACCTAAAGCCTAAACCCGAGGCTGACAGTATCCCAGAAAGGAACCAGAAACTTTGATTTGATGTCAGCCACATGACAGGTGGCAGCCTTTAAAGATGGAGTTCCTGAGCCTTGGCGCGTAGAACTCGAGGCATAGCGTGCATCGTGGATAGGGTGGGCTTCGGGGGCTTAGGGGTTTTGGATCGAGGGGCTTAGGGCTTAGGGTGCTCGAGCTTTGGGCTTGGGGCATAGGGCTGGGGATCTAAGGTTAAGAGCAGAAGGGTCAACATCGATGTAGCTGCGATGGTGAGAAAGCTCAGGGATTCTTGGAAGATTTCAGCAAGAACAGCGACAGCGTTTGAGATGATGCGCGTATACAATGCCATGTTGCTAAGAAGCTTCTGCATCAGGAGAGGTTTTCAAGGGCTGGACCGGGCGAGGGTGGAAAACTTCCTGACCAATTTACTCGGAAGGTCAAAACTTCAAGACGTTTTTGTAACCTGTTGACCAGCCAACAAGTTTTCCAAGCGAGTTCTTGAGAAGGTAAGTTGTTAACACCAGCATCCTGCGTCGGAACCTAGTAAAAGACTTCTTCTCGACAAGAAGTTTTTTGGTGAAGTTTGTGAGCACCCTTGCCGTTTTGCAAAGCCGACATTCGATTGAGAATACTAATCAAACGTGTCAATAGCCACGTCATACCTGTAGTATAATTGCACGGAAGCTTAATTCTAAAGCCGGATTCTATTTGGATAGGTTCATAGGTTCCTACAGCGGGTTGATTGCATCAGAGAAACCTAGCAGGCCCAAAGCACAATGGCTCGGTCGTCGACCACCTGAACTTGAAAGCCTCAAGACCTTCAAATCTGTCGAAACCTACCCAGGCTGAATCGTTGTTGGACATGAGATTTGTTTCTTGTTGTACGAAACCCAGATCAAGAACAGAAGACTATATACTTTTTAAGAATACCCCAATCAGAACTGGTAAATCCTAAAGCCTCCTACGTGGTAGAAGATCCGTCTATCCATTATGGTCTTCCAAAGGTTGCTTTCAAACAAGACTCTTTGTAAGGCCACAGGGTTGTGCTGAACATATTGTGCAATGTTTGCTTGTCCTAAACCACCAGTTAGCAGCCAAATTTGTTTTTGGTGGGGTTTCAAGGCATATTTTGAAGTGGGGTTTCGGTTCAGGCTTTGGGGTCAGGAGTTGATAGGGTGGCATCAGGAGAGTGTGCTGTTTGGGTCGGCTTAGCTTCTCTGCTGGCAATAGGCAGCGTGCAAAAATGGGGGAGTTTCCCAAGATTAGGGTACCTTTTTGGGAGGTCCCAATAATAAGGAGTATAGTATTTGGGGGTCTCTATTGGGTCCCCCTAGTTTGGAAAACGACCAATGATAGGGTAGGAATTGTTGAGGATCATCATGGCTTACTAGATTTTCTTCCTTCTTGGTTGGGGGGGTGGCCTGCCAAAGACAGGGCCAACCCCAGACGGCTGCTGCGAATTCGTTAGCCCTCAGCGAGGCCAGTCTACTGCAGGGGCCAGTTTACTGGGTTGCTGTTAAGGAACTTAAATTAAGTTACCATAATGGGTATATATAGTACATACTAGGGTTTCCCCAATATAGTAACTTAATTTAAGTTCCTTAACAGCAACCCAGTTTAAGTATGAATTTGGGGCATGTTGTACTGAAATTGCACAAGGGGTATGGGGGAATGATGTTGGCTTCTACATTGCAAGCACTTGAGCAAGGAGCAGGAGTATCGCCATTTTCAGAAAAGGTTGGGGGCCAACCCGGTGGAAAAGATAATTGGGTCAAGTCCCTACCATGTCCCAAGAAAAAAGGATGGCATGGGGTTTCAGCTCAGGATTTTAGATTCGCATTCTGAACACTTGTTTCAAGACCCTGGTGGCAGAGCCAAGATTTCAGCGGCCCGTGGTTCACAGTACTTTCGAGAGCTTAGCTCTAAGAACAGAGAGACCATCGCAATTCCTAGGGTGCAAGCTGCTGGACTTCAATCATGCTAGTTAACATTGGCGGAGCAGCAAGCTGATCAGTCCTTACATATACGCATGCGGTCCCCTCCTGCAGGAATTCCATGGAAGCCCGCCCGTACAAGCCCTGCTTGATTAGGTGGTTTCATGTGTGTCTCGAAGAGGATAGCCACTGCAACACGAACTTCCTATGTAGCCTTCCTATATAGACCCAGAACCCTATGAACCATCCCCAGCCCCTCCTGGGGTTCCCGGTCCTTCTGATCCCCTCCGCGAACAATCAGCCCCACCCCCTCGTAATAGCCAGCGGAGTATCTGTAATGCTGCAACATCAAGTTTTAGGGAGTGGAGGGATTGCTTAAACGGCAGCCAACTCGATGCGATCTAGCCAAGCGCACAGACTTGAATCCTCTTGGTGGGCAAGGAAACCATGGAGCGTTTGGGCTCATTATCTAATTCAGGCTCATCATCGAATTGTGGGGACCCATTTCTTTGCTTCATCTCACAGATGGCCGCCCCATACTACATCTAGCATGGCTACAATCAGCGTTGAAGAGGATGCAAGGTTTTTGCCTTTGCATGAGCCAGGGCAGACTCTTGTTTTTGCACGTCTTCAGATAGTAGCGCGACTAACATGTCCATGTTCAGCTTCTGTGAATGGGTTGCAGACATTTCCGGATCAAAGGCAATGTTTCTGAGTTTAAAGGCTCTCAGCTTCAAGTGTGTCCTAGCAACTGAGAATCTAGGTTGCATCAGACTCGATGTCATACACAGATCCATTGTTGCTGGAGGGCCTAGGACCCAGGATTCCTTGCATCTGCACGGCTGCTGCTAATTTCCCCAAAACCTCGAATGCCACGATGAGCCTGAGTGCGTTCACAGGTCCAGGTGCATCTAGGCATCACAACGTGCCGATTGTCGAAGTTTGAAGGCCACTCATCTGCAAAAAAAACGCCAACTGGTTTCCATCAGCTGCACCGCAGTAAACTAGGCTAAGCAAGTGCAGTCTCATCCTTGATCCACATGTTCGCCCTTCGTGGCTGGTGGCTACGGTGCCATCAAAAGCGGCTAGTGCTGGCTGCTTTGGCAGTTACAGCAGTCTCAGGCACATTCCTTTGGAAGAGAGATGCTGGCGCGTCATTTGAAAGGTTCCATTCGTGTATGGCCCCTGACAGCCTCTTCTTTGCACCATTTCATGGGGAAGGCGGTTCTGACAAGACTGTAGCCTGGGAACGGCTGCCTACCAGGCAGGCAAGCATTCAGTCCATCCTGGAGGCAGAAAAGGCTTTCACAAGCGCGGAGAAGTTGTCTTCCTCAGGGCTTCACATGCTTTATGGTACTTTCTTGGTACCTTTGATGCAGACCCATCCCCATGCCAAGCTGCTTGAGGTAGGTTCTGGCTGCAACCAGGGATATGGCCCTGGTTCGCGCATGGCATTGTGGCAAAAGCTGCTTCCCACCGCCAGCCTTTGGGAGGCAAATGTAGACAGCACCTGCGCAGCAGAGTCGGGAGGGCAGCTCCTGACTGTGCCTAAAGGCCAAAACGAGCATCTTGCTTGCACCATCAAGTTTTTCGTTGTGCAAGGCGTGGTAATATCGACAAGAATGCAAACACAGGGTTTCCTAAGGGTATAATTTGTAGAAGGCAAACTGCGCTGCAGAAGTGGTTGCAAACCGTGGGTGGTGATCTCCACGCAGTCATTCACAACCAAAGCCCTGATCAGAAGATTCAGGCATGGACTATGTTTGATGCGTTGTGGCCGGCTCTGAGGCCAGGCGGCATGTACTTCATAGAAGCCTTCGATGACAACGGGGGCGGCATTTCTAGCAAACTTGCCAGATGGATTGATCAGATGCTGATCCCTTCTGACACAATTTCCCAGCCAATGCCCAGCGGCCTGGAATCTATTTACTGTCAGCCTCATGCGTGCATGATCCGAAAGCAAGTCTGTCGCCGAGACTTAGCTGGCAGCGGCAATTTTGTCGCACATACTGTGTACAACTTCGAAAAGTCAGCACGGGAAGCGCCGATGCAGACTGACAAGACCACAACTCACAGATATCAGGTCATGTATGGTACCTTCCTGCTTCCCTTCCTGCAAGCTTTCCCACAGGCCAAGATGCTCGAAATTGGCCTTGGCTGTGGTATGGCAGCTGGCACAGGTGCAAGCGCGAAACTGTGGGCCAAGTTGTTTCCCAGCCTAGACCTGTGGATGGGCGAGTATCACGCATCCTGTGTGGAGCACGAACGCAAGGCTGGAAATCTTGAAGGCATAAAAACTGTGACAGGAGACCAGGGTGACGCAGCTACGCTTCAAGAATGGCTTATCACTACTGGTGGGAACTTCGACATTATCATCGATGACGGAGGTCACCACAACAAGCACAACAAGGCCACCTTTGAGGGGCTTTGGCCTGCTCTACGTCCTGGTGGGCTCTACTTCTTAGAGGACCTTCAGGTTGGGAGGGAGCCAGAGTACGCAGATGGCCCGGCCACGTCAGAAATCATGCAGGCCTGGGTCCACCAGATGCTAAATCCAACAGGCGTGCCAGGACGATTTCCTCTACCTGTTGGCATTGAGTCCGTCTATTGCCAGTGGGAGGCATGCGTTGTCCGCAAAGCAGGCGGGTTCTGATGTGACTTGACAACTCGAAAGGGACACAAGGCGCTCACAACTTTTTTGCACAGCTTTGCAGATCCATGTGCTCCTCTCAGTCCCACCTCCTGTACCGTACTTGTAGTGCCTATAGGGCTGAAATCGATGCCCTCCGTCTTCTTATGGTAATGTAGTGGTTCCAATGAATACCAAAATCATGGCCCTGCATTCCTTGTATACTTAACGGTATAGGGTTTTCCGTTTGACCTCAACATGGTATCAGTAGCTATTGAGGCCATCGTGTTGATTTTGTCTGCATTGCCGCGTCAAGGTGGTGGGGAATCTTATGTGGGAGACCTTGTGGAGAGTCCGACTTCAACTGAAGGCCCAAAATGAAGAATTACATGGAAAATGACATGCAAAGTGGGCTTGTGGTTTATAGGCACAGGGGTTTTGAAGTAGAGTTTTTCGCCTGGCTTTTGGTGAGTGTATGTAAGGTTCCTTGGGAATGTTGGTGAGTGCATATATTTGGTGTCCAAGGGGACCACAAATTAAAAGCCATGAAACAGTCGCCCCGCTATCGTAGACACATAACCTTCTATAACCCCCATATATTTTCATCCCCAGTATGACTTTGGAAGAGCCGACAAGGCTCGGCAGGTTTATTAGCAGAAGCATAGCGCTCCCAAAATCAGGGTGCCATTTTGGTACCCCTACATATTAGGTGCCATAATATAACCTATAACCAAACGGGGCCCATAAGTTTGAGAACAACCCATTTCCCTTCCCTTTGTACCTGTTGTTGATATTGATACCAGATGGACATGATGAATATTGAACGTGTTGTGCTGTCCCGCTTGTCTTCTATTTCCGACAAGGATGAAAGAAAACTGGACTTCTTGCGAAGCCTGAAGCTTTGTAATAATAGCTATAATTGTAAAAGTAAGAACACTAATAGTAGTAAGAGTAGTAGTAGTAATAAAAGCAGGTCCTTGACATGAAGGATCCAGCATCTGGCCGTATTAGACAGGCGCAAGACTCTAAATGTCTATAAGGTCAGATTCCAATTATCAAGCCGTCCTCCGTTGCTTAGAAACCTTTGACCCCAACCCCGAACCCTTCACAAAAGCCATTCGACAGTTGTATGAACCCTTTTAGGGCATACTCCTGGCGGGTTTAGGGATATCCCTTGGTGAAAGGTACGCCGCCTCGCCGCTGGTGCAGCAGAGCGTGCTGCAGCCCGCGCAGAGGTACGAAGCAGCAGCGATGGATTTCGGAGTTTGGCTTGCAATAAGTGATATGAGCTAGAGTCTAAGCTCCTTAAAGGGGGGTTATATGGGGGAGTGTAGAGGGCACTTTTACAGGGGGTATTGAGGTGGGTAGTAGAAGTTTAGACTATGGCTCATATGGGCCTTAAGGCTTCAGCAACTTGCTTTAGGGCCGGTATTCTGTAGGTTTCTCACTTTATCCCGCATAATGTATTTTCCAATTTAAGGGATGAGGCGCAGACCGCTAAGGAAAAAAGTCCCTCATGGTACCAATTTGCAGAATGTTCGAAAACTCCCTTCCAGAAACAAACCCCCTTCACCTGTACTACTTGGAGGGTCAGGGGATTTGAGAAGTAGGTTAAAATTGGAGGTAACTAGGGTTATTCTACGGCTTTTGCGGGTACAGCCTGTGATCTCAAACCAAGTCAGCTCTGAATGGCCATGTTCGATTTGTGCATGTGAGGTTGTGATCACATCGAGGCTCCAGTCAGCTTGTCGTCCCCTGCAAGCAGATAGAATATGGGGAATATCCGGATTGTATTGTGATGTTGAGTGTTTCCCTATTCTATCTACTTAAGCTGGACTATACCCTAACCCTAAAAGGGTTGAGTAGCATCAGGAAGCAAGCAAGAGGGGTCTGTATGAGCAGGGCATTATTCCAGACAATCCCTTTTGAATCCCTGAAAAGGACGCCTCAAATATCCATTTCTCCATTCCGTACTAACAACCAGTAAGCTTGCAGGGAAACACCTCTACCTTTGTTGATTGAAGGAATCTTGCACCTTTTAGATCATCACTTACTGTATATTCATATTAAGTTGACTCAGCTTGGGTTCCTTGGCAACAACCAAGAAGGACATCAGCCATGTCCCTTTGGATTTAGGGTTTAGGGTTGAATTTTGCCTCCCCGAAATCATGCAATCTCGGTCTCCCACAGCAGGCCCTCAATACTAAAGACCCTGAGCCCTGACAATGTAGAAGCCTGTAGAATAACCTGTATTGTTGTGGTCCTAGGGTCCTGTATGAAACTGTGGTCCACAATATTTCAAACAGACACATATGATCCTTTTAGGCCCCTACAGTACACATCCCTATAAAGCCAGTGTCCATGTAATTTTCCGGTCCTCTTGTCTCTCCATTAATGAGATTGAGTCTTAAACCCTAAATCATATAGTGGTTTCCTTTTTCTTTTCCAGTATCCGTATCCCTATATACCCTATATACTACCCTGAATCTTAAAATCTGGACTCATGAAATACCAAGCTCACCTCAGCAAGACGAGGCTTTAGGCTACGCTGCTCAGCAGTCCGGACTTCAGGCACGAGTTGGTATGTCTGGAGACAGCAGAAATACGAAGGTTTTCAGATATTAGGTGTCCCTAAGGATTACATGATTTTGGTGTGTATTCATGGAAAGCACGTGATGTATGCTCTGCAGGCTATTTGTTAACCTTGATATGTGTTTTTGCGTTGCTTTTCGGTGCGGTGACTGTGGACAACTTTTGGCCCTGCAGTTTGGTTGCAGCGAATTTTTGGGAAGCCCCCAAGTCTTGTGGCAATGCCGAGACGGACTTGTTGTGAGAAAGAGTCTCGCATCTCCAGGCGCGGGATCAAGGCAAAATGTTCAGAAGAATCAGACCTTTGGGCTTGGCAGGGCCTGAATGATTCCCAGATGATTGTCCTTGACTCCTAAGGTAGGTATAGTATGGGGAGGTGCCTAAAATGGACTTCGAAATCATTATCGGCAATTAGTCATTTAGGCCCCTACATGGGTAAGGCATTCGGCGCTGAGCCTTGCATCTGGCTAAGCAATCGATCTCTGAGCCCAAGTAAGTCATGCTGCCGCAAAGAAGTTTAAATGGGTAGTCGCAAGGGCCTGCTCTTCATCAAATGCCTTGAGTAACTATTCAGCTTCCTCATACGCCAGCTACTGGAAGTCTTGCACTTGTGCGAGATGTACTTGAGACATGTAACTAAGCCCAAGCTGCCAGCCGGCAGACGGAACTCCTTCTTCAAGTGTGTCTGTGCATGAAAATACCTAGATGTTGGATCGGAATGTGAGGTCCTTTACAGAAGACTACCCTCTGTAAACCCCCATAGATAGCCCACAAACCCCCTGTCATCCTTTCCTTAGCCATGAAACGGGCCTTCATTGATCCCAGTCATCCCGTGATGTCCGGGTACCACGCTTCTCTGGTCAGTTGCTGAGGGTCTTGATTGTTGTGAGTAGATTGTTCTTATGAAGCATCAATCCAAGCCCCAGACTCGAATCCTGAAAGCCCTTTCCAGAATGCAAAACGCCTGAATTTTGAGCCTTTGTCGTTCAGCTGACTTAGCCGAGAGCTTTGAGTTCCAGGATCAGCCACAAAGCATATGTTTTCAGGCTTGTGGACGTGTTCTGAAGCCTGCCCCTCTATAGTGTGAACCATGCAATCAAGATGCAGAAGCCATCTTGTTGATGGATACCTCGCCGTATAGCCCTTCCTGCACTAAGCCACCATCATTCCTTTGCAAGTGGATCCTTCGCAAGGGGATTATTCCATGCCAACCTGCCAACCAAACAGCTATCTTGCTTTGACAGGGACCAGCGCTGCGATTGGATCTTTGTGAGGTGCTGTCCTTGGGAGCTTCGAGACTTCTTCACTCTTCGTCAGTCCCTGCATGAGGGCTCAACAGATCAAGAGAGCATTCGTTAGGGTGCCGCAAGGTAGAAAACCATGCCTAAACCTGAAAACGCAAGGGTCCTTTCCAATGTGCCAACCACGCATCTTCCTGTTCGAGAAGGGTCACGAACTTGCACTAAGCAGGCTGACAGCACGCAGGTTCCTGCGCCCAGCGTGCCATTTCGTAGGGACATCGTGCAGTGAATTAGCTGGCAGCCTAGGCTTCGTTTCAGTCTGGCTGTTCAAACTCGATTTCAAATCCAACATGAAAGGCTGATTGGAGGGTCAGGCGGACTTAGCAAGTGCGTCAATGATGCAGATAACTAGGGGCTTTTCCTATGGCTTTGAGGGCTTATAAGTATATACCGTAAACTTCCTGAGTCCTTCTTACCCTGCAAGGAGAGCCCAAAGTGAAGAGTTTGCCAAGTGTATTGTTTGTCATCCGGAATATACAAAGTAACACTGACATTTCAAGAATTAGAGCGATTGAGTGCCTGCAACACGCAATTCAACAGGACGTTGTCTAAACTGACGACTGAATTAGTGTAAAAGCCTGCGTAATTCCCAACATCTGCCCCTCGTAATCCAACATGAGGACCCTCCTTTTTCCTCGAGTTCGGCTTGTGCCACGCCCCGCCCACAACTTCCGAACACTTTCAGAAGGGAGTTTCTCAAAATCTTCTGTATAACAGCTCTAACACAAGCCCCAGAATCCCTTCGTCATTCTTGTGGTCACTTAGGGTATCCCTGGTTTGAGAAACTGCCAGTGTTGTAAGAGGGCATTTTAATGGGGTCCAGAAAGCCACCATTATTTTGACAGCTTCCCAGAAGACCCTCACATGAACCGTTTATCCCCCCACCTGGAATTGGATTTCCAGGTGGCCTGTGCCGCTTTCCGCTGTGCTGCTACGCTTGAGGCTGCACTGGATGCAGGCAGCGCGGACATACACAACTAGACCCCGATTATCCAAAAAACAATCAGTTCGATGTTAACCAAGGACGCGTATTTGGTGCTGCAGTTGTGGTGCGGTGTAGTTGCTGTGGTGTATGTGGGCGGTGTAGGTGCTGTGGTGTACGTGGTGCGGTGTAGGTGCTGTGCTGTATGTGGGCGGTGTAAGGCCCGTGGTGTACTGGTGCGGTGTAGTTGCTGTGGTGTATGTGGGCGGTGTAGGTGTCCTGGTGTGGTGCATTGTAGGTGCTGTGCTGTATGTGGGCGGTGTAGGCGCCGTGGTGAACCGGTGTGGTGTAGTTGCTGTGGTCTATGTGCACGGTGTAGGTGTCCTGCTGCATGTCGGCGGTGTAGGCGCTGTGGGGGGGGGGGTGTAGTTGCTGTGGTGTATGTGCGCCGTGTAGATGTCCTGGTGTATGTGAGCAGTGTAGGTGCTGTGTTGTGATGCGGTGTAGTTGCTGTCGATTCCAAAGAGAATTGACAGGACAGACGTTCAACGCGCCAGCTGCCACGCGCCTAAAACAGCGAGAGGGTCGTCGATTCCAAGGTGAATTCACAGGAAGCTCCACGCGCCAGCGCTGCCACCCACCCCAAACCACGAGAGGGTCGTCGATTCCAAACTGAATTTTCAGGACGCTCCACGCGCCAGCGCTCGTGACACGACCGCCGACTCCGAAAGGAATTCGCAGCACGCTCCACACACTAGCGCTGCCACCCACTGAAAACAGCAAGGGGGTCTTCGCTTCCAAGCCAAATTCGCAGGACGCTCCACGCGCCAGCGCGGGCACCCACCGAAAACAGCGAGCACAGCGAGAGCGCTTTGACACGCACGAAACCCGCAGAGGGTTCGCCGACAAAGTTGAAAATTTTTACGGCGCCGCAGCGAGAGCGCTTCGACACGCACGAAACCCGCAGAGGATTCGCCGATTCGCATGGCGCCACAGCAAGAGCGCTTCGACACGCACGATCCTTGCAAAGGGTTCGCCGGCGACGTTGAAAATTCGCACGGCGCCACGGTAAGAACGCTTCGACACGCACGAAACCCGCAGAGGGTTCGCGGACGAAGTTGAAGATACGCACGGCGCCACGCACCAAAACCTGCAGAGGTGCATCCTGCCTACCCCGGCCAGGTTAGCGGGTGGTGTAGGTATAGACTGGCGTGGTGTATGTCAGCGGTGTAGATGCTGTGGTGCATGTGAGTGGTGTAAGTGCTGTGTAGACTGTTGCGTGGTGTATGCGAGGGGTGTAGATGCTTTGGTGTGTGCAAGGCAACCGTTTTTTGACGAGGAACCCCTCGCAGTGCTTTCAGCAAAAATGTACATGCACATGGATAATGTATTCTAGCTGTTAATAAGGAAGACTAGTAACGACATTCGTAGCAGTAGTGGTCGTGCTGACAGTGGTGATGGTGTAGTGGTAGTCGTGGTGGCGGTGGCGGTGGTGATGGCGGTAGCAGCAGAAATTGTAGCTGTAGTTGAAGGAAAAGCAGTCAAAGAAGTAGCTGCTGCCATTGCTAGCACTGGTGCCAGCACTGGCGTCGGTAGCGGCATACCGGTGGTGATGTTTGTGGTGATGATGATTATGATGTCGTGGCGGTGGCATTAATATCACTAGGCAGAGAAGTTGAAGAAGTGGGGGGGGAGAAGTAGGAGCGATTTGCAATCGCAGCAATTTTCGCAGCGGTGATTAATCGTAATGGTACCGAAGACGCCAAAAAACACCCCCATCCCGTTCTCATAAACCCTTGCCCGCGCATGCTTGTACTACAGAACCACAATGTTGTGGGGTTGATCATGAGGGGAGGCATTCATTTGCGTTGACCGTCACCCATCAACATGTTTTGGGCTTCATGCATGGCAGCTGTAACATAGTGTTTTCATGCTTACAATGTGCGAATACCCAACAGAACACAAAGCCTTGGTATATGATATCCAAAACATTGCACGGCTCGAGAAGAACAAGGACCTGCAAGCTTTGTATGAATAGGGTCGTTCGGCATTTGTGACGCAGACTTGCTTGACCAAAGACTAATTACAAGGTGTTCAATAGCTCATTGCGAATTTGCAGAATTGTTGAGAGGTCTTCGGACGGAGGCACATGATGAAGGAGCCATCCGAAGTGCAGCTACCGACTTCGAGGCTGCTTGAAACTTAACCACAATTTGCTGGGTTAAGTGAGGGGACGTTGTTAACCCTAAGACCCACAAATGGGACCTGTAAGAGTCATTTGATAGTAGTAGGACCTTAAATTTAGGTTTGAGTTTATTGAAATCCCCAAACAGGGTTTGGATCCCGGGCTTAGGCAGTATATTCTTGCTAGGCTCTACACCTGGCACGAAAGGGTCCTGCTTCACCATTAGATGCTTAAAATGTAAACACCGGCCGTATAGCCAAACTGTTGGTTCCTGCAGGCTCTTCCAACCTTTGCATTCTGATTTTCCTCGAGCTCTACGTCTCGCAAGCGCTCTCGTGTTGCTATTGAAATCCGGTTTGGCATGTGTGTCGCCCACTGCCAGATTCAGTTCTAAGCGTTAATGTTCACCTTCCCCGCCCCGAGCCTGCCACAGTCGTCTTGTTGAATTTGCTTCTGGACGCACGTAGGCAGATTACACAAGACCAGTGTTGTCAAAAGCAATCATTTCAGACTATATATTATACTACCTGGTCCTACCTTGGGTTTGCCTACTTAGCTCAGGAGCCACCTAGTTCAATAAGATTCGGCTGTCAACGTCTTGGGCTTCAGGTATCATATGTCGGAACAGATTTTGGAGTTGACATGAGATTTCCAGGGGTTACGAATCCTCGAGCATGAGCCCGCTGCATGCTGAGACTCATACTGGCATGCTCTCTCTTTCTGACTCATTCTTGAGGCAAAAGTCTATAGTTGATTCAATAGCTCGCATGATGCGGATTTTGGCAAGCTGCAGCAAATTGTCTGCGGAAGCTAAAGGGACTGAGCATGGCTCTTTTGGGGTACCCTTTCCTTATTTGGACCTGGGTTTAGGGTTTAGGGCCTTGATTTTGGGTGAATATTCACCTTTTTGTTGAGGCATTGAGTTTGGAGCTTGTCAAAGCTCAAGGCGCCGTAGGACTTGGAGGATGTAGCGCAAACCAGACTGTCAATTGCTGGGTTGTTGGGAAAGAATTGAAATTGAGCTGCCATACTGAGAAAACCGTAGTATTAGCCAGTACTTGGTATGTATTCGTGTTATAGTAACTTAGCTTAAGCTGTTTAACCGCAACCCAGGTTGTATAACCAGGCGAGGATCGAGGTCTTCAGCAATCCCAAATCCTTGGCCTCTTCAACACCAGCCAACTTGAATTCCACACGCCAACCTGACCCAAATCTCGAACACAAACCTACAGTTTTAAGCCACGAGGACCCAAGATGTTTAGCCATTCCTCCTAACAGTCATTGCCACAATACGTAATAGGAGTTATACTAGCCCTTGAACACAATCAGCGTTGAGAACAGTTCCCGTAAGGGGGACTGACCCAGCTGAGATGTAGTACACGCCCTTGACACATCTCCCGTGGCGCAAGGGACAGTTCAAAAAAGCTGAGCAGAAGCTGCGCGAGGTTATGAGCAAAAGGTGGCTGGAGCCTCACAGCGCAGCTCGTGCTCCAAGTGGGTATTTTTAGGAAACCCTCGTGTGGATTAAGGGGGTTCGCGGAGTATTGTGCAGTGGATTCTGGTGATGCAGAGTGTTGTTTCGCAGGGGCGTTTTTGAGTATAGAATGTGGCCCCAAGAAGTGCAAGAAGTGGGGGATTATTATTGACACTGAAGGCAAAGGAAGAAATGGCTACTCACTACATCCCGGCATCCTCACACTTCAGCTCGAAATTTCATTCTCGCCCAGATCGTCCCGCATCAATATGTTTTTGGGGCTTGCTTCTGTCTTAGTGCTCGCACCGCAGTAGCGTTTGTGTCCTTGTCGCGAAGTTGCAGAAAACTGGATTTGGTAATCCACGCAAATGTCTTCGGCTCTGTGGCTCCTGCGTGGTAAGTTTTTGCCATTCATTTTCAACCTCCACAGTCCCGTGAGGTCCTGGGGCTTTTGGTGCTCTTGGAGTCTTTGGGCTTGGAGTGCTCTTTACTCGCTTCAGTGCTCTTGGCTGCTCTTAGAGTGCTCGATAAGTCTTTGTGCGCGTGGTGTTTGTAGACTTGGACAGCTTAAGGTGCTCTCGGAGCGCTTGCTAATGCTCTTCTACAAGGTTCCTGAAAATAATTTTTAATTTCTGTTACCTAGAATCCTAATATTGAGCTGAAATTGTAATTTCTACTGGGGTTCCAAATCCCTAGAGTCTTGTGGTTGAGTGGTCTTGCAGGAGAATGGCTCTGTAATCAAGCTTGCAAGATAGATAGTTGGCCGAGCTTGTCAAAGCAAGCGCAAGCTGAGAGTCCAGGATCAGCCCGAAGATAGGGTTGGCAATTCAGGCTTTGTTGCTGCGATGAATTCTTGGAAGAGCTGTACAACCACAACAGCTTGAAGAAGCACCGATGAAGATGGCTACTATCATTAGTTTCTGAAAAGTGGAGCTTGCACGAGGTGGTATTGTCCAGTGGTGGCGTGAGACATGAACCCTCCAACCAGTTCGCCTACTGCTGCCCCTCAGTGCTTCAATCCATTTGAGCAATCTTGTTTCAAGCAAGATCATGCAATCCAGCGTTGCTGGCTGCGCACGGCAAAGACCGGTTGTTGAGCATGGGTTCGAGTGGGCTCGCAGGCCGAGAAAGGGCGGGGTTGGTCCGAGAAAGGTGTGTTGAATCGAGGAAACTGCAAACAAGAAGATGTTTTCCGGGCAAGGCGAACTGGGCGAGTAGGGTGACTGGGGGCGAGTGGGGCAAGGGGGCTGTGAGCATGCACATGTCATGGATCTGACTGCAGCTGGGCTGCTTTTCTAGGATGCTGGAGAGCATGCCTTTTGGGCTCCAGCTAGTGTTGGGCTTCAGCTAGTGCGAGGGATCAAGCTCTGCAGACATTCGTTTCACTGAGGCTCTTTAGCCGTATCATGTATCTCTCCTTCCACACCTTTTTCATTTGCCTTCGACAGACTTCGGAGCCACAGTCTTCGAGTTGCCAGGCCAGAGCATGAGCTTGCGCAGGATCTAAGCTCCGCGAAGTTTTGGGCGTGCAGGGGACTAAACTCCATGAGTTTTGGACTAAACTCTGCGTAAAAGCTAGTCCCTGACGTGAACTTTTGCATGTGGAGTTTGACACGTCCATCGAGGCATCGCTGGATAGAAGCTACGCTGCCCTCCAGTTCGCATTCCTTTCCTCGAAATGGGGCAAGTTGAGAGACATCCCACAACTCCCCAACGTATCCTTCAGCTACAAGTGGAGAGCTTCCTAGTAAGTAGGGTTAGATCAAGAAGGGTTCTATGCTTTGAGTGAGCGGGAGCAATACAGGCCGCTTTCAGGGAACAGTACAGAACGATCATGATGCAATCCAAGTGAGTAGGTCGTTATGTAGGAGTAACACAAAACAGCAGATGTATTGGCAGGCTTGCATTCGCAAATGTAGCATGAAGTTCCCGTGGCTTTCATCCTGACTTTACGCCTAAGTAAACACTCACCATATTTATAAGACTAGTAATAGTAGTGATAGTAATAGTAGTAATAGCAATAGTAATAATACTAACAGTAGTAATAGTCATTAAAATAATAGTAATAACAAGAATAGTAGTAATAATAGCAGCAAAAAAACAAGCGACCACAAGCCTCAAAAGCACTCTAAGGCCAGATGTGGAATCTCCCAGCCAGGCACGGGAACTAAAGCCGATTTTTGCTAGGGATTAGGGTTTAGGGTTTAGGGGTGTGAGAGTGAAAGGCTTTCAGGAAGGGATGAAGCAGGATGTCTGTGTGGTCATTTCAAAAAATGCATAATTGCTCAGTATAGGCACTCCTGAAAATGACCCAAACCGCCCATGTGAGTTTGTTCGATAAGTTTCTCAAATCGCCTTGCATCCTAGACATTATTCCAGGAGCCAGGAGGCCCAGTGGTTTGCTGCAGTAAGGAGTTTTTACCTTGAATCCTAAACCCTAAAAACCCTAAACCCTATAGCCGTCCTGGCTGCTTATGACTGGTGGGACTGTGCTTGGCTACAGAATTGCCAGGGCTTGCAGTCGAATTCTGTTTCGCAGTACTCAGAGGAGGTTGAAGTATTGGGCTAGACGTCCGATAGCAGCCCTCGTGACAGACATACATGGAAAGATCGACCAAAAAGAGAGCGATGCCTGAGAAAAAGAGGTTTGGCTTAAAGATGCCTACCGGACATTGCCACTCAATGAGTCGCTTGGACAATCTCAAAATAACATGCTCGCCATAGCTATGTGGGGGATTGTCAAANNAATACGGGGCCTAGTACGGGGCCTAATTTAGGGGACCCAAAAAGGGACCATAATTTTGACAATCCCCCATGTGGATCTCATTCAGCACACGCCTTGAGAGTTTACGAGACACTGAACATCCAGAGGCCATGCGGCTGTTTCGGACAAACTGGCAGGGCCCAAAGTTACGATGTTCCTGAACATTCATCCTGCTCTACATTTTTGCAACGACAACCAGTCAGCTGTGTTAAACAGCCCGCCACACCCCTGAAAGGTTCCAAGCTTTCATAGACAACAGGTAGAAACTTTGCAAGTGCTGAATTCAGAATCCTGAATAATGCCCGGAAGTATCCCTATACATGCATACATATGTATATATACATATAGATAGGGTAGTCCATATCCCAGAACCATGTTCTGCTTATGTAGATCTCTACACTAAAATCCCTATAGACACCTACTTGAGCCCGGTTTCCATTTCATTTTTCATGGTTTGTTGATTTGATTCTTGTTTTTACAAGCCTGAAGCATCTTCATTCCCATATGGCCCCTATGAACCACTTAAAAAATGGTTTGGTTTCATGATGTTCTTTTCAAGTTTGAGTCTCCTTTCTTCTACTCCACACATAATCACCCCGGAGCCCTTGCAGCCCTTGCCTCTGCCAGGCACTAAGCGCCATTCAGGACTTGGAGAAAGTGGCCAGCACGCCCACGCTTGACGGCCAGGTGAGCTTGAAGTTTACGGTTTCGGGTTTACGTGAGTTATAGTCTACACTCCTTAGAGGGGTTGTATACGGGATTATATAGGGGAGGATTATAGGGGTTGTTAAGGGGAATACTAGGCGTTTGGACAATGGCTCGCATGCATATACACAAGTAACCTTCTTGCGTGCTTGTGCTACACTGTCCATGTCCTGGCTGGTGCTTCAGACTGCAACTACCTGAGCTGCGTCTTGGCTGACTTGCAAATTCTCGTTCAGGATGCAAGGTTTTTTGTAGGTGGCCTTACGAAAAGCAGTATAGAATCTGAGGAGTGCAAAGGGGAATCCGCTTCTCAAGAAACTCCAAACTCTCAGGATTCCTACGTACCCCTGTAGCATGCCTAGACCTCCCAAAAGTGATTCCAACTTGAAGCATACTCCCACAGGGCATTCAGGCACTAAGAGCCCGTTTTGATGGAGATATGTTGTGGGGATCTTGCAGGGTGCTGTGGGGGCATGCTGGTACAGAGTTTCTGGTTTGCTGTCAAGCGGGTTGCCTGGAGTTGAGGAGGTGCCCAGCATCAATCTGTTATCTTTCACCGTGTTTGCGAAGTTTCCACAAATCCTGTGGCGCAAGTCTGCGCTTGGTGGCTACTTCCTTCATGCCCTAAACCTTTCCTCCGCCAAAACCTGAAGCCAACAAATCGCAAGCTTCCAACCCCAAACACTGAACAACCTGCTGGTTGTCAATAGGAAATTAGGGGATGGAAATTGTTAATTTAGGGATTCACATCTCTATTCCCTAATTACAACCACTATGGCGGGCAAATGCTGGCAAAGGGGTCTGCACTCCGACGTGCTTGGCTCTTCCAGCTTCATCGCTTGCAGGCCATGTCATGGTATGTAATGTCCATGGGGTTTAGGGCTAAAGGTATTAGGACATAGGGTTTGTTGGTTTTGGGTTTGATTTTGGTTCTGCTGGCTTCAAAGGGATTTGCTGAGCCTTGCTGCTTGCAATTCTCACGGCTCACGCTGATGATTTCCTCCGCTTTAAAAGTAAGACCCTCATCCCCTAACAACACCTATTCCCAAGATGCGATGTTCAATTCTTCCGGGACTATTTAGTATTTGGCGATGGGAGACACTACTACATCAAGCCGTTGAGGGGCCTCATGGGATTTGCACCAAGGCCCCCCGTGCCCACCTTCATTCTGTTTGCAAACACTATGCGGGAACTGCTGCCCGATAGGAGCTTTGAGGGGATTCCCATCAGCGATGCCTGGCGACCAACAATCATTGCCTTGCCCAGAAACTAACATGGAACCTCAAAAGAAGCACACTATAGACTGCTGTCCTTCTCATAGAGGCCTCTATGGGCTTCAATGTTAGTTTGCGCAAGGGGGCTCATCCTTTTTTGAAGCTTTTGCAAAGCTCGTGATTTGGCAGGGTCACGGTTTGTGCTTGTGTTTGTACGCTGGTTCGATACTTGGATCAACCTGTGTTGTCCGATCAAAAACCCCAAATCCAAGGTTCTTGAGCTGAAAATCCTTGCAGCTGTAAGGCCAAAAATCTCCAGGCCCTAGGTATAGGTGTTATCTAGGTGTCATTTGGATGTTCTACAGGGGTTGTATCGGTGAGATATGGAACTCTGACTATCATCCGCCATCTTCAGGTGCCTTTTGCCTATGGCTTGGCGTCCTGCAGGCCCTCAGTCGTTTCTGCTGCCAAGTTTCCAACAAGAGGTATGGGAAATTCCCAACATTAGGGCCACCTTCCCCGGGTCCTAACAATAAGGATCGTCATATTTTGGGGCCTATATCGGGGTCCCCTTTTTTGGGAAATACCATATGGGCTTTGCTTTCAGTAGTGGGAAACGATTCTTGGACTTGCACCGTTCTTCTTCAGACTGCGCCCGGTTTCGGTACAGCATGGCTATACGGGGGCAGTGTGACTTGAAAGGATCTTAGATACCAATGCATGCTTGCAGAGCCCACCTTCAATCATTTTATATGGCGGTGCTTTTCCTCACTATTATTCTAAGTTTCGTATTCGATGGGGCGTATTGTAAAAGAGTTGCCTAGCATTGGATTCGGTTCGTGTCATCCCTGCGGGAACCTCCCTAGCTGCGAGAAGTGGCAAACCACCGGCTTACCTGCAGCACGAGACTGAGTTGTATGTGGTGATCTTCAAAAGGGTTCCCAAATTTGTTGAAGTTGCCATCTTGTATTCGCACAACACCATCTATAGCCTTTCTAGTTTCTTCCGGGAGCATTATTCTTTCTTGGTAAACTCCTTCAACTTAATTGAACTTCCTCAGGGCTCTGACAGCAGCCCCCCACAAGCGTGTTATGGAGGTGTCATCAACATGGTCCTTCTTCACTCCTCACGGGGGACCTTTAGAATCCCTATTCCCACGGTGCACCACATTGTGTGGATCCCCAAAAAGGTACCCCAAATCTTGGGAGACCCTAAGCCCGAAACCCTAAACCCTAAATAGTTTTTTCCGTTTTCTTTCCATTGCCACCAGGGTTGCAAAAGAGCCTGCAGCGCCACCAGAGCGAACACATTCGGAGCCAGCACCGCACCCAGTCAGGTAGTACTGATAAAAGAAGTGGGGGTTTCCCAAAATTAGGGGTCCTACTATAATGGAGAATCAAATGGAACTTGAAGGGAAAATGAAATGGAAACTGGGATTATAGGGGGTTCTATCGGGGATTATAGGGATTAGGGTTTCCCAAAATTATGGTTAGCTCTTGGGGGTCCTTATAGTAAAGATTGTGACATTTTACTATCTATCTTGGGGTCCTCCTATTTAGGGAAACTACCGAGTCTTGCACAGCTTGGGACTTCTAAAGGATTGCAATTCTTGTGATTGAGGGCACTCAGCTTGGTGAAATGGTTTTGTCCATCAGCAGCATCATTTCAAGAATGTTCTGGTTGCTATAATTGTGGTTCTTGTGACGGCCATTTTTCGTATCATTATCTGTTGTGTCTTGTCATTGTCTACTTTGTTATATCTACACCAACTTGCTATGAAACATCCTTGCCATTATGAAGCAACAAAACAGTCCTGGCGGGTGAGAAGAAGTGCCTGACAAAACGAGTTGTCCATAGTTATGCGCAGGCTTGTGCGAGCCATGCTTGTTAAGCTACAAACAGAGGTGGCCCAGGCTGATCGCAGGATGCATCATGACATAATTTTGCGGCCAGGGTCTGTGTAACTCGAATGCCTCGTAAATGTTACCACATCTAACTTGTTGTTGGCGTCTCTGTCTTTTCGTTGTGTGATTACACTGGTCGTCCTGTTGCTCTGACTGGTTGCCTTTGTTTTCATGTTTTCCATCACTGACATGGCTTTCGGCACATGCGGTATTCTGGTTCTTGTTGGCATACGCATTTCCAGACTGAGCCTTCAAGCTGTTACTGTTGGGGTTTCTCAAAATGTCAGGGCCTTTCTCGGATGCGTGTGAGGCCGCTGGACTTGTGACAAAAGCCCATGTCTTCGGTGGAGGGCTAAAGATTTTGCAGCTTGAGCTCACGGCTTGACCTAAATTCCCTGAATCCATATTGCACACTGCAGTCTCCTTCATCTTCACCAGCGGAAGAAGATGGAGCCATGGCAGCGCTGATGCGATTGCAGAAGCCAGGCTGCAACAACTGTAAATGTAGAAGCCGAGTAGTTGCCAATATCGTCGCCAAGGTAAACCTCATACCCAAAAGCACTTATTTGATTAAAGATGCACCTGCATTAGGCTAGCTTCGTAGGGCCGAGCTATTTCTCTGCATTTTAGTTCAAGTAACATCTCCAAACTTTAAGTCTGTGGAAGTTCAGGGGTGAGGCATCGTGGTTCTGAGACGCCCATATGGTTTTCCCTGTCGTTCGAAAGAGCATGCTGAAAATTCTCGCGCCGGTCCTTGAACCCATTCCTTCATGTCCAGCAAAGAAGACGCAAGCAGACGGGCACATTTGGATGCTCCATGTTTCCAGGCGCATGTCCGACGCCTTTGTCAGAATGTGCTTGTCTCAATGTGTGGGATTTCTCAACCGTACTCTCTTGGGGTAATACAAGGGAGACCCTGCTGTCGTAAAGTCATGGTCCTCATGATGTAGGGGAGGTACTGCTCAGGCTGACCCATGTGAGTTCCAACCTATGCTAAAGGTTCCCTGGATACACAATCTGGGTTCCTGTTACGGAAGTTAAATCAGTTCCTACTCTTACTATTTACCCATCTCATAGTAGATAAAGTTAAGTTCCTTACTGGCAAACTAGCAATGGTAAGCACCATCAAAAACAGTGGAAGCCATGGCCAAGCGGCCAAAGCTAAGATGAGCTTGTGAATGGCAGGTGATCCTTGTAGTTGCCTAATGTGGGGGTACAGCCGAGGAACCGGAAGACAAAGGACAAGCAGGACGCCTGCCGTGGGTTTTTGAACGGTCGGTCAAATGACTGTGTCCTGACGCACGGACGCAGGTAGCATGACGCGTGTTGGTGCATTGGTTATGGTGCCGACTGGAAGCGCGTCAGAGGTTACAACACAACTACACCTGTCAAGCAGGAAGATCTCAAGCAAGGGCTCTGGCTCTCAAGTATTGTCCATTCGCGTTCACCCCCAGTAAGCAGCACAAAGGAGGAGGCAAAGGAGGTGGAGCCGGTGACTGCAGAGGCCGGACCTTGCCCTAAAGCCGTTCGGACAGCGAATTTGCTTGCAAGCCGCCACCTGAGCTATAGTCTAAACTCCTTCTAGGTGGGTTATATGGGGGATAATGTAGGGGACTACTACAGGGGTGATTAGAGGGGATACTAGGCGTTTAGACTATAGCTTGCCTGTCCTCCTCTCGCACTAGTTTGACAGCTCGTAATCGTAGTCATCAAGGCTCACACTCGTAAACTGGAAGGTGGAATTCTCAATCTACAAAGCTTGTGTTGTCTGACTAAGTGGTCTTCCCAATCCCGCAGAGGCCACAGCCATTGAAGATCCAGTACCTGCAGACGAGGACCACTGATTTCAATATTAGTAACGAGAATCAAAGAATACTGGTGATAACACCAGCAGGAGTGGAAGTTCAACCTTGAGCGATTTGTGTGGATGGGAGGAGCTTCGAGGATGCTACCACGCAGCGAGTCAGTCTAGATGGGGGTTTCCCAAAATTGGATACCATTTTGGGGGTCCCCATATAATGATTATGGTATCTTGGGGCCTATGTTGAGTCCCCCGGTTCAGGGAAACTACCACGCCTTGCCAAACATGCAGCGTGCAGCTTTGCATAAGCCCTTGGTAGTTGAATTGCAATCACGACATCTTCTTTGAAGAGCAGAGGAGACACGGCGAGCATCATGTTTGATTTGTGCCAAGGTTGTCCATAGGTCTTGCTTGAGGAGCTATGTTGGTCGACTGTCCATGAAACGTACAGACACTTAAGATGACCGTTGGGGAGAGAGCAGTGAGCTCGTGTATACTACCAAGAATTGTTGCCTGAGGCTTCCCATGTAGACCCGAAGCACGTGCGAGATCGAGAGGGGTTCCTCATAGACAATTGTCATGACACCAAAAAATACCGTTGGAATTTCAAGTTGTGAGGAACGGATCGCAGCTGAGGCAGGCTTGCTCTTTGGCAAATGCCTGTAAGGTGTGTCAGACTTGGTACAACGCCTATACAGTAATTTCCCAAAATAGGGGGACTCCAATATAGACCCCAATATAGTACAATCCTTATTATGGAGACCCCCAATATGGTACCCCTAATTTTGGTACAACCCCTATACAACCCCACAGGCTGCGCCCTGCTTTCACAGGAGAACCGCAAAGGGGTAGATGCAGAGGCACTGCTGCCCTGGGAGATATTCCAATCTGATCCTAGGCTGCAAGATGGCGCAGGGTTTAGGGACATTTTTGGGGGGATTGTCAGAATTATGGTCCCTTTTTGGGTCCCTATTATAATACGGGGCCTAATTTAGGGGACCCAAAAGGGACCATAATTTTGACAATCCCCCATTTGGATATTGCCCCCACACAGTAAAAGGTAGATAATACTTCTACTGTAATTTTACAAAGCCCGTAATATTGCCCCCATTACAGGCGGAGATCGGTTGGCCCAGTCATCAAGTTACAATGCAATGAGCAACGTAGAATTGTAACGTACAATGATATCCCAGCAAGGAACAAGGCTTGAGAAAGAACGGCACAGGCGTGTGATTGCATTGACAGAAGAAGGGTCGTTTGTTCATACTGAATAGGCTGGGTTAGGGGGGAGCGGGGGGGGGGGGGGGGTGTTCCCAAAAAGGCAGATTATTATAAGGATTATAAGATTTTTTGGGACTTATTGGGGTCCTTGCATTTATTGAAACTGCCACATGCATATGTCTCAAGATAAGCTTCAAACAATTGGTGTAATAAACTTGCCGATATCATAGGGGCCTCTTTTCAAGAGAATCAGCATTTTTGAAAAGGCCTCAGGCGACACATTCACCAACTTGTTGGGTCAATCTCAGCAACGCCGCCAAAAGGGATCAACACCTACTGCGAAAACAAAATAACCATAATGCATATGTATTTGAAGTTATAAACCACTTACAAGCTCCCTGAGCATGGTTCTAGCTGCCTTGCAACTTCAGTTAGAATTGAACTATAGTTGACCTGGGCCTCCAACTAGGAGCCTGCAGTCATATCCTGTAAAACTTCGGATCCTTGGATAGATTCCGGTGTTCAATATGGAAACCATCTATCATAGTCCTGTTCCGATTCCCCTGCTTACTGTCCCCCAGCTCGCTTTCAATTAGCCCTAGCTATCCCTAGAAACACTTTCACTAAAAGGGAACCCAAAGGGAGAGAGCATAAAGAGGATCAGAAGCAGCAGGCCAGGTTTTGGGAAGCCCTGCCAGGATTCATAGGGATGTGGGTTTGGGGTCTAAGCCAATTGACGCAAAACAGTGGAGAATCAAATGGGAAGAAAATGGAAAGTTAAATCGGCACCTGTGGTTATACAGGAGTTACATAGGCATTTTGAAGTATTCAAGAGGAGAATTGGTAAACGCAATCCCTAGACAAAGGACCCTATACCAGTCATGTTAGCCGAAGAGTCCTTGTTTTACGGTTTGGGTTAACCAAAATCCCCTAATTGTTGCTTCCTTTGAAAGTCAAGATGTGACACTATACTACTATGACACGACAAAATTACAGCACTATGACACTTGCTATTCAGGAGCGCACGCGCTGGGAGCCGCTTCGGTGCCGTCTGCTTGGAATCGCAGCCGCTCTGGCGCGCATGGACCTCAGGCGAGGTAACTTGGAAATTTGTCCAAGTTTGGGCGCACTCTTGAATCCCAAATGTTCAAGCTCGCACTGTACCAACGAGGACGGAGACCTTGAGAAATTTGTTTTAAGGTTAAAGTTTAAAGGTTGGCGGCTTGAGTGTACAGTCGTAGTGTGTCATGTCTTCTGATACATTATCTAATCGAAGGAGCACATCGCATTCAGCATGTATTGGCTATGGATGGCCGATCATCATAAAAGCTCGACCAAAGGCTGAGAGGACTTTGGTGCGACCGTACGATAGCATCAAGTGCCCTAAAACTTGACAAGCATTGGCCATTACTCGAAATAGGGACCCGAATAAACTTGTATTCCTGGACAACGCTATACAAAAGTGCTGTCTGGACTGCTGCACGGAGGCAGAAAACAATGCATTGGCATCGCAGCCAGAAGGCATAGGGAACAGCCTCCACACCAAATAGCTACTTACTTGTGATCAGCAGAAAATGCAGGAATGGATCCCTAAGGCAGTTCCAAAATGATCCCCAACAATAACCCCCGTACTCCAGTCCTTCTTGCCGTACTGGCCAGCAGTAAGTTACAGACCTTCAGATTCCGAATTGCACAGCATGGAGGGGTGACATGTCCGTTAATCACACAACGGACCGCGACCCACAGCACCTTTGCAACACTGCAAATGTCCAGGTGCCCAATGTTTGCTCGCTGAGTCTTGCAGTTGAGTGTTTCCATTCGCAGAAGAACTTCAAAAGTACTTGATCTTCGATGTCGAGGGAACCTTGGTGGCACCCTTGCCCCAAATAGCAGCAACAGTGGCCCATGCCAATCTCAATGCAGAACTGCGATTGATATAACTCATCTCCATAGATGCAGGAGAAAGCAGAAATCCATGGCGGTGCATCTGAGAAGTTATTTTGAGAGGAAGTGCCTGCGGGTAGGTGCAGAAGTGGCCTTCCTCCAAAACCGTGAACAATTTTGAAACGGAATCGGGGAGACGCACAGTGGTCAAACATGCCAAGGTACTGCCAGCCTTCCAGCGTTGCCAGCACTTCCGGAGGACCTGCCAGACAGGTAATTCCCAGCGCTTCAGATACAACTCAACAGGACGTTTATGTGTGTGAGGCATCCAACTGTGACACGGTAGCTGATACTCGGCCATCGCTGGAGCATTGTTGAATTCTTTTAGCTTCTTGGATGCGATGATGCATTTTCAATGAAGCATGTCCTGACGAGAACAAGACAAATGCGATTTGTAGGCTGGTTCTTGGTGCACGCGGAAGGACATAGGTTTGAAAGACGACAAGAGCAAGAAGAAGTAACGAGTAGATCAACCTAGCATCAGCTGCAGGAAGAAGAGATAATACCTGGAGCAAGAAGGTGACGCAAGCGAATTCAAAGTCAATTTTCACCGGTCGCTGCCAGTCGGGCTCAGCTCGACATCTGCAGAAAAGAGGCAGTTGGCATGGTCCTGATGCAAGGACCGGCATGCCCCAACATAAGTCTACAGGCCAGCTGTGTCTGAAAGGGCTCTAGGATGAATTCAGGGTTCGTGTTCCTCCAAACATGGAACCCAATATGGCACCCTTTGTACAGGGGCCAGCAGAGTCCCGGGCCCCTTGGGGTTTCATGGCCTCGAACTTCTTCAGGAGCTGCTGCGTGTGGCAAAGAACATCGAGGCAGAGCATTGTTTCGGGTTTAGGGCTCAAGGTTTCGGATTTAGGGTTCAGTGTTCAGGGTCCCACGACTGCTGCTGGGAACAGTACTTCTGTCAGTGGTAATTTGTGGTGTGCTATCAATGCAATTTTTCGCGGCAGTGTGACATGCAGTCTCAGTGAGATGCCTACTACAGCGATCCTTTCTGTGACCAAGCAAGTAATTCTGGATCCCTTCACCTTAGTCGCGGTTTCCCCATCCATGCTATGCAGATCTTATTCAGGCCCTAGGCCAAAAATAGCCTTATGTAATCCATACATACCCGCTTTGCTAAGGTCCCTATAGTAAGGGCTTACAGCTCGCGAACCCATCATATTCCATATTGCCATCCTCTCGAAGTTTTACTGTCGAATGAACCGTTAACCTTACATGCCCTGATTGGCTCTGCAAGTTTCCTCATTCTGGGTGTCCCAAACACCGCTACAGAATTCCCAACAGCTTTCAGCCGTAGCCAGCATCCGTAAGCAGTGGGTCTGCTAGTGTGAGTAAACTCCTCCGCAGTATTGGCGGCTTGTGCTGGGAACAGAGGTTCTGCTGGCAGAGCATTCAGGGCTCCTCTCAAAAGTAGTGCTTGTCCTGTTTCGCTCAAGCAATCAGTGGCATCCACGGCGCCTAGTGGCATGCCCTTACAAGTTTTACATGCGATGTGTCAACATCCCTAGATTTGCCCAAGGGTTGCGCTCTCATCAGCCTGAATTGGCTTCGTTGCCATGATCGCGGTCAAGATCATAGTTCTTCATAGTCTTCTCATCGCAGCCGTGCTCATCAATTCTGTGCGACTCTTCCTCCTCAGACTGCAACTTCAAATACTAGCTGATGACTGCATTGCCCGGTTGATGTTTACCTGGTACAGCTGTCATCATTCATATAACTTCGTTGCAGCTTAGTGTTTCTGAGGTCAGCTTGAGCCGAAGCATCACCAGTGGCGATGCAGACCCGGTGACACGCCAGCATTATGCACATCTTGCAGTGAGCTCCTAAGCCTGCGGCATTCACTGCTCGCACTGAGGCGATTTTGTGTTGGTAGTCAGGACCACGCGTACATTAATTGAATGGCCATGGGGCCATGCCAAACTCTCACGCGCTCTTTTGTACCGCACTTGCAGTCTTGATACGCTAGCCCAATGTTCTAGCAAGACCTTAACATGCATGCGCCGTGCCTTGGAGGTAAGAGCTGTCTGAGGTGAGCCCTTGAAATTTGTGGCAACGCGCGCGGTTGATGGTTTGTGTAGGCTAGAAGTTTATCAGAACCAATGGGCTGAGGCTGGGCTTCGCATGGGGTGAAACCAAAGACGGTTTTCAGGAGCTAACAAGCCGAATGTTCCAAGTTACATGTGGCTCCAATGCCCACAAACCGATCTTATTGGCTCTGGTTTCTTTTTTGCGACTCCGCTAGTTGGAAGGCCGCATGGCTTACGGCTTACGTACCAGGTGATCTTTTGGGAGGCCCTGCGAGACAGCGTTGACCCCATCCTGGCAGTCCTCGATCAGCTGCAGGCTTTCCCAGTTTCGAGGGTTTAGGCGTTTTCTACTAGCTTCGGAATGAGGATTGGAGCCCGGCCCATTGCTGAAGAATTTCTCGCGTCCAGTCTAAAGGCCAATACACAGAGCAGTACGGGTTTTCTGCAGGCATTTAGACAGCTTGAAGAGTACATGTGCCGGCTGTTGGTGTTTCACAGCTCTGGTGGGCCATCTCAGGGCAGCTACGTACCTGTCCTGCAAGTCTCTTTACTCAACCCAGACTGGTGTACATTCGATTTGTTGAAGTTGCTTCTGTAGCGCTGCGGTCACGAACGCCAAGCCTCTTACGTGCCCCCTACAGGCACAAGCAGTTCTGGCTACCTCGTCTATTCACGATGAGGAGGTCTGTGCTCAGATTTGTCACGGCCCGCAGGGCGCATGTCATACGTCTTGAACTCTGGCTCGAAATGGAACAATTCAAATGGCAACTTAAAACCCCATACAGGCATGCAACCTCTCCAGTTGCAGGCCAGTAGCCACTTTCCATTCTACTGCGATATAATATAGCTTTGTCGGTTTTGTATATGGACAGACGATCAGTGTGATACAACCTCCTTTGCGGCGCTCAAACTGGAGTCTGCGCAAAGGCAATTTTCACGTCAATGTAGTTGCCGGATGCGAGGGCTGAGGAACTTCAAACCACAGGGTGGGAAGAACCTTCCAGGAAGGCTAAGGCGGCTATGGAGGATTCGGGGCAATCCCCAACCTTGATAACTTTTACCCTGCATCTAAGCCGCAGGCTACATATCTATAATCTATAGCTCCAAAGGCAATTTGGCAACACGTCAAGATCCAGGAGCCACCTCGAGACCTTCGACCCTCCCGGCGCTTCGTAGACCCGCCGTGCTGGGCCTTCTGCAGCTTGGAGGCTGGTTTCTAATGAAGGGGAAGGCTTGCTCTATAGGATACATGATCCTAAGAAATGCTGACCTGGCAATACAGAAAACCCCCCAAAACTTGGGAGGGGGGCTCGTGGTCGTAGTATTGGTAGTACTCCAGTATTAGCAAAGCATCACGGCTCAAGTGAGTCCATGGTTTGACTCTAATTGCTCTAGCTATCCTGCCTGTCCACCGCATTTGCTATGGCACCTGCTTACACCCACCTTGTGCCGTGTGCGCAGTACCTACAGTACTATCTATAGCTCACGGTTGCGAAGATGACCTCGAATTCGCCACGAGTTCAAGTGCAGGTAAGTGCTGGACCATGCAGATGAAGGGCGACAAGGGCCTCCTCTGCTCATGAAACGGGATCTTCCGCTGTGCCTTGAACAAGGGGTCATGCCGATGGAGTTCTGATGCCATGGCCATATGGGAGTTGCCGACTGTGAAGAAGCATTGTGTGTGCAACCCGGAGTCACCAGAGAAGAGCCGGCCCGGTCCCAAGTCCGGGGCGATGAGCGGAACAGGCGTCTAGTACCTCGACAAGATACAGACCTGCTCCTCGTGGTGTGAAAGGTCCGGTCCAGTCCGCATGGACGGCTTACAAGGTCTGACAAGCATGCACGTGTTGCGGATTACAGCCTCGCAGGTGTGCATGGTCCCATCAGTTTCAGGTGGGATAGTGCACGCGTGCCAGCTTCTGTGTGTGCCGTTTTCCGGCCTTCCGACCACGTGCCTTTTTTTACCCGTTGGAATGCACATGCATGCATGCTCTTGGAGTCCATACCTCTGAATCTGTATTCGCAGAATGACTGGTGTGCACCGCTCTTGTGGCCATGGCATATTTTGACTAATTGGGCTGCTCTGGATGATGGCCTTTGAAAGTTCCATCTTTGGGAAAGCGACGTTCACTGTGGATTGTCGCGCAAATTGCACATGACCCCAAGAGGAACAATGAGGCGGCTGGCTTGCGATGCACCAACTTGAACTGGCAACTTGCGCTATGCGACGCATCCATGTGGCACCATTGCATTGTGGAGATCTGCAACTGGATACGCTCGGAATGCTTCCTCCATTGAGCTGACCATGTGGTGAAAAACCTGTTATGTGAATACTTAGTAGTAGGAACTACTTCCTTGTGTTGTCTGTTGGGAGTTGACTGGACCTGCTTCAGGGCTATTCGTAGCACAGCTCCGCCCCACCTATGCCGGATTATGCGTTCTGAAAATGTCGGCACAAAACATTCGCTGCCACAAGGCTGTACACAAGCTGACCGACCAGTTGTGATGGAATCAAAAAATAAAGTACCAGTAGCACAAATAGCATGAGCAGTCCAAGCGGTACTACCGGTACTAGTCCCGCTAGTAAATTAGTACTACGACTACACCCAAAACTACGACGACGACTACTTTGAGCATTACTACAAAACCGCACGGTTTTTGAGATTTCAAGCTTGTTTGTTTGGTTTTGAAAGTAAAAGCTGCTTCATTGAAAACAAAACCTGCAAAAACAGGTGCCTATTACTGCCACCCCCTCTATTATTGTTCTGAGAAGGCCCTGGTAAGGAGTACCTTTGGAAGCGTCTTGAGATTAATTTGGAATAATCGAAGTGATACGGTACCGCTACTTCCTGATCCCTGGCGACTGCTCAAGTTTCCAAATAGCAAAGGCTGAAGGTGGCAAGGTGCAGGCTTTAAAGGCTTTTTCTTGAATTTCAACATCGGCTGTAAAAACGGACAGTGCTTAAGAAAATGCCTGATGCCGGAAGAATTTATTATCGTCAGCCCCTTCATTTTTGTGCTGGGAGGGCCCTGATGAGGGGTGGCCTCTGGAAGCTCCTTGGTATAAGTTCTCGAATAAGGGAAGTGATACAGAGTCGTTCGTTCGTGATCCCTGGGAGTTCTTCGGGTTTCCAAATAGTAAAGGTTGAGGCTATCAACTTCAATCACTTGCGGCTTCTTGTGGTCAAGCGGTGCAAACTACAGATTCTGATGTTGGGTTTGTAGTGTTGGCAGTGATTTGTTGTTGACCTGATTTTGGTGACTTTGAGCACCAACAAGCTGCAAAGCTTCAGCTTTGCCGTGCTATGTGTCTGCAGTGAAAGATGTCGAGGCACCCAAGTCTAATGCCAAAACCGCTTCATAATTGAAATCAAGAATTCAAGGAGCGAAGAGTTTTACTTTTGTCACCTATTTAGATTGCTTTGACAGCAAAAGATTTTTCTGGCCAGGCGGGAATAGTTTATTGTCACTCCCTGTAATCTTAAGCACTTGGATTTACGAAAAGAAGTCTCTGCACAAGACCGACACCACTCATCAGTTCCTGGAGTGGTCACGCGATGTTGTACAACTAAAATTCACCCACAACACTTTAGGACATGGTGTTAGTATTTCAAACGTTGCTCAAACGTTGCGAACATATGTCATTTCAGTGGCTCATATTGCGGTTGTTTTACTGCTTGCAGTATCCTAGCTAGAAACCTTAGCGGCAAGCTGCGAATCCAAGCTCGCAGGCCGCAGCTAAGAACCCAGACATTCCCATAATCTTCCAAAACCACAGATCAAAATCTCCCATGGACTTTCAATGTTGGCACGGATGTTTCTCAAATTGCCATTTTCCAATTCGCTTAAGGAAAGCAGTTTGAAGCAGGTGCAAAAGCGCATTGAAGAGATCGATGTGAAGCAGCGTGAGGCACATGCATTGATGGGTTGCAGGTTTCATGCGCTGTGGAAGCAAACTTTTGGAAGATTGAGGCCCGCATGCCGACATGCTAGCACGTGACTCCAAGCCAGACACGAGCGCTCTGGACTTTTACCTCATAATTTGTCTCGGGTTTTGCCAGGCTACCTGCCATGTCAAGTGTCATTCGAACAACAGATGTTGAGCTGGCAAAAGTTGCCGAGCTAATTCAAGAAGACCGCGTGAGTCTGTTACGGTCTTGTAAAGCTTGCAGCTGCAAACAGCTTTGTAGTAGTAAGACGCTATCTAATCTTAGCGTCTTTGCGTTGGACTTCAACAGCTGCATGGAAGCAATTCTTTCAATGCTTGCCCGTGGAAGTGGCAAGTCAAAGCCATAGCCAAATCCACCATCCCCCAACAATAGGCTTACCACTGAAAACCCAACGCAGCGCCTCACCAATTTAACAGGCAACGCCTAATCTTCTAGCTATTCCCGTGGGAAGCCTTCCGGAAGCGGAAGCAGGTGCGTGAGGTGCAGAAGCAGCTCACAGAGCAGAAGAAGCACCTTACAGAGGCAGAAGAGGCAGCTTCTAGTGGGTGCGGTAGATGAGTGGTACATCCTCAAGGGTATTGAGCCGCAATATGTAAAACAAGAACTATTCTCTTGTTGGTTGTCGCTTTGTAGGACGGAATTCACTTGTTGGTGCTTCGGCCATCACAAAAGAACCCTCAAATGTGATCCCCACACATTCAATTTAACTCTTAGTGTGTGAACAAGATGTAACCCTTCAAGGTTGCAATGGTAAAGCCGGCATTTAGGAGCACGAGCTTGGTCAACTGGAGCTTGATCACGTTCGTCCGGCATGCCATGCATAGTACCCTGGTGCGCTGCATCCTTTCAGTCTAGAGAACATGAAGTTCCTTGACGATTAGCCCACAACTTCGCAACTATTCCTCATGAGAGGCGGCATGAGAGTTTTTCTTTAGATGCAACTTTATCATCACAGGCGGAGAGCTGCATGAAAGCCTAGTTTTTGCAAAACACGAGTGCCAATGTCTGAACTTTTCAACTTGGTTGTCGAGGGACAATACACTAACCACAAAACCAAAGTAAAAGCACGAAGATCCTTCAAAGATGTGCGAGCATCTGTCCGCAATTTGTCATCCAAATAACAAGCATTCAGAGCACAAGTCCTATAGCCAGGAAGTCTGCAACCAGAGGCTTTGCTCACAACGCGCCCTTCAGATTCCATTTCCTGAGCAGGCTCTAACGCTGGTGTTTCAAGGATGCTGTGAGCAGTAAGGTCCAACATGGCAAAACCACTTAGAATAATGATATCCAGGGCATTCGGCCCACAATCATCAAGAGGCCGCTTGGCAGAAAGCCTTTGGGAATTTGGGCACCACCTTAGGTGAAGCTTGCAATTCAATAGAAGACTTGACCCACAAATTTGGAAACCGTAAGCCCTATATCTGTCCCATAAGATACCAGACAAGATCCCATTATATGCCCCGTATAGTTATCCCGTGATAAGCCCTATATATATTCCAATATTAGTAGTTTCCTTTTTCTTTTCCATTAGATATAACCCTAATATATATATATATACTATAGTAGTTTGCATTTCCTTTTCCATTAAGCATAACCCTTATATATTTATACGATGGTACTTGCCATTGTCTTTTCCATTAAATATAACCCTTACATATTTATACTATGGTACTTGCCATTGTCTTCTCCATTAAATATAACCCTTATATACATATACTATGGTAATTTCCAGTTTTCCATTAAATCTAACCCTACTATAACCCCAATGTAGGTGTTGAACCCCGAGATCACCAGGAGCTCCACCGGGCGGAGAAGCGAGGCCAGGACTTACGTGAAAACCTGGAGGACCAGGCAGCTTGTGAGGATCTCCAGGCCGGGTTTGGGGTTTAGGGTTTAGGGGTTTAGGGCATGGGGGGGACCATTCTATTGGGGTTATATTGTGGTTATTTTCGGGGTGATATTGGGATAGTGGAAAATAAAATGGAAGCTACTGTTTAGGGTTTAGGATGTATATGGGGTTTTAGTCGGACTTTACACAATAATGGAGAATCAAATGGAAAAGAAAATGGAAACAGGGATCATATAGGGGATTATGGGGATCAATATTATTCTTAGGGACGAGTATACCAGGGCTATGGTACTTGGGATCAGGGACTCTATAGGCGACCATGTAGAACAAATTGCTGCTAAAGAACATCAAGCACAACATGTATACGTAGTCCAGAATATGACTTCCCCTGTTGGTAACCTCGTTTAAGTTCTTCAACATCACCGTAATAAGGTTTGGCTTCCGGCAGCATGTCCTTTTTTTAGTGAGGCCAAATCCATGACTTGATTGCATTTCTTCAGGGAGCCAGCAATGTGATGCATGATGATTGCCATGGTATCGTGAGGAGCGCATGCAGTGTGGACAGCATTGAGCAGTTCTCAACGTCCTGGGTTTGAGAATATTCCTATGCTGGATTCACAAATCTAAGTGATCCCTGCATGCATCGTATCAGTGGCACGGAACATAATGGGCGACCAAAAAAATGTGCAATCCAAAGGAAGAGGACAACCGTGGCAACTTTTCATGGGATTGGAGACAACGACTTAAGCAGGATACTGTTGGACGTCCGATTCAACGATGATGAAGCTGAGGATGATGGCTTCAAAGTGGGAATGAAATTCAGATAAACACCTCAAAGGGTACTGGTCACGTTACGTGCTCCTGCAAACACCTCTCGACGTTTGTGGCATGCCCCTTCCATGATGCACGCGCGTTCTTCTGCAAGTGCTGCATGATCTGCACCTTGTATCACATCAGCTTCCAGGGGATTGGATCCTGAACAGTCCTGAACTGTTGTTATACTGCGTAGGCTAAAGGATCAGATTTCAGATGAGTTGTCCTTGCATGTGCCGCTTGCTATCGCCATCTGCGATGGCTTCAGCGGAACAGTGGAATCTGCACTGCTTTCACAAAATTGACGTGTGGTCCTTGGCAGCGCTCATGTGGCTCTGGCGTCTCTTGCCACGCGTGTCGCACACCATTTTTTCCTTCGCACTTGTTCGCGCCTTTTGTGACGGTTCAACCTGCCTGCACCAGGTACATGCCTTAAGACGTCTAGGCCATCCGCGGCTAAATGAAGCCACCTTTCGGCACCCCAAAGTCCGGCTGTCCTCGCTACGCTTGCCGCCTGATCGTCCCAATTGAAACGCCTGTATGTGTTCACTCTGCTGGAACCTCACCTTTTAGGAAGGTTTCAGTATTTTAGGCTTTCATGAGCTTTGTGAATCTTTTGACTTGATTCTGCGCCTTGGTTTCCGGTAATGTCCGCGCTTTTGAAGCATGTGATGATGTCTGAAAAAAAACAGAAGCTGCCACAAAGCGCCTGGTGCCAGCTTTGGATGTCGCGTTATAGAACTGATGGCAAGGATAGCAGCAGTTAGGAACAAAGATTCTTCTCTGCGAGTTGCACTTAGGTAAACCCTAAACCCTAGAGTACATTAGAGACTCAGACACGTAAACTGCCATGCAGGTTGCTTAGCAGTTCGTTGTTGAAGTACAGATGCTGCTCACAGCCAGGCCTCAGAGAAGACCCTGAGGGCTGAGGCATGCCGTTGTCGGGAGCTTCAGTCTTGGAGTTTCACAATGGGTTTATATTTGGGTTATAGTGGGGCTATATAGGACAATATGGAAAAGAAATGGAAACTAGGTGGAGGGCATCGTGGCTTCACTTGTCGAGAATTCTAAGATGGTCTAGGGTTTCCGGGTTTAGGCTTTAGGTTCTTTTGATGTGGTCTCTGTCTCTGGCCATCCACACTGAGTTTGCAATCTTTGCAGTTCTGTAGATATGGCGGCCGAGTCTTTCCGAAAGTGTCAAACGGAACCCCTAGCCTTTCAAAGCTTGTTTGGAAACCTGCGCGCCTTAGTTTGCACCTCAGGTTTTATTGAGATTTATGACAGACTATAGGCCCCCTTAAGTAGATGGAATATGGCTTTGGGTAGATCCCATATTCTATCTACTTAAGGGGGACTATGTGTTACAGGGGCAAAGTTGTATTGACAGATGTCTTTGCCGAGGTCAGGCTGCAGAGGTTTAACCGTCCTTGGAATCAGCATGCTGAAATGCTGACATGAAAGTGTTGATGAGGTATTATTATTAGTAGTATTGTTATTAGTAGTATCATATAGGAATAATGAAGAGAAAATACAAACTACTATAACGGGTGCTGCTGGCCAGGCCAGGAAGCGTAAGGCTCCAGGGCTCTTGTTCTCTTGTGCATAGGAGCCCGACCATTACAAACTTTGAGATCCAAAGCTGGTGAAAGCGGCTTTAAGCGCAGCCAGGTGTCTAGACGCTTCTGCTAGCATGGATTAGGGCCCCTGGAAAGAACATGCGCACCAATGATTTGTCACTTGCTCTTGTTGCAGCCTGCGCTGCAAGAATGGTGCATGGATGGACGTCCGTCCTAATGTGAAGTAGAGGACAAAAATTGGAGACACCGGGCTAACTGAGCTGATTGTATTGTTGGAAGAATCATCCGCGCTTCCTGATTAGAACAGCCTAGTGCATGAGGTCTACCTTTCTTGGAGAGTTTTGCAATTGAAGCAGGACCACATTCCCACCAAATCCTCGTTCGGCTTCATATGAGATGGAGCTGGGCAACCCACACCTCAAAAAGAAAACTGTACTGTGTCGTACGGCTTCCAGTCCGGCAGGTGGCCACAAGTGCGGCGGCACAGGCCTTGCCTATACGCGCTCCTCATTCTGCAGCTCATGCTTTGGAGCCGGGTCAAGCAATCCTACATTGGCTCGCCTAGGAACCCCGCACATAGATATGCAAGGTTTCTTAGCTTGGCCGGCACCTTGCCTGCATGTAGTCGACTAACTGCAGCTTCTACATCCTTGAAACCCTAGCTACAGATTCGTTTTTGGTACTCTGCCGGGTCTGCAGCGAGCATCAAGCTTATCCCCAGACACACATACCAAGTTATTCTCCACAACCTTCGGCTGCAAGCTTGACTTTCTCGCTGTGGAATCCTGAACTGCTTGCTGCGAAAGCTGGTTCCCGCACCTAGCAAAACCGTGACCTGTAGGATCAGACTTCTTGCTAAAGCCAGGCCGCCCTACTCCGCGAGGCATTTGAGTTTCCAGGGCTGGCAGTTTCAGAGGGTCTGCATTTGCTTTACGACGTTTAGTGGTTTTGAACTGCAGGATTCAGTGGTCATGGGTTTTGAGTTGAAAGTTGGCATGTAGGAGAACAACTTGAGAAGACATTCTTTTGCAAAGCAGAGCACACTGATCCGTGTCCACGACAGTAGGCGCTAGCGAAGAGCACTCATGGCTTCAGCCACTAAAATTCTGAAACCCCAAGGAAAACCTTACTTACCATGCCGGAAGCAGGATTGCCAGCAGCGTGCGTCTTGGAAGATACTTTGTGACCAACTCCTATCGCCAAGCGGTCTTACGTGCTGCAAGTTTCAGAACTCCTGTGATGTTCGCACAGGTCTGATGCAACACACATGTCTCGAAAACAGACCTCCCCCCAACCTTTCCCACCCCTTGCCAATTGCTGCACTTCTGCAAGCGCTTGTAAACACTCAGTCAACGACTAGAATTAAATCACGGATTGAAGCAAAAGCCTTTTGCTTAATTTTCACGACAAGCAAAGTAAAGCTCCCAAAGCTGCACAGTTGGTTACCCTGGACCAGGCAGCTAAGCAGTTCCATACATTGAGTTGTACGTGCCCAAACAAACAAAATTGCTCCAAGCTCAGTGAACACTGCGCAGGTTGACCAGGCACGTACACGCGGAGACGAGCTGGAGCGTGCTAGCAAGGTGCAGCTTGTGTTTGGGTTTCAAAGCTCGGTTTCAGGCATCATGGTGTGTGTGATTACCATAGCCTACATGCTTCGCAGCGAGCCCCACATGTGTTGCGCTTTCCAAGCATGATGCAACAGCACACGTCAACACCAAATGTCATTCAAATCAAACATCAGGCTGGTTGTCATACACGTTCATGACTCGTGCAAGGCTCCCCAACAGCAACCCAATCTCACAGGAGCAGTGTAGTGCAGAGGATTTCAGGCCCGCTGTGCTCGCCCAAGTTTAGACCTGTCGTGTACTGTGCTTCTGCTTTTGGGTCCCCAGCGGCCTATGTCGACGCTTTGTTGCCCCTGTACAGGTTCACGACAACCACCAAATAGATTCGAAAGTAACATCTGAGCCCCGGAATGCCAAAGAACACGCTGGGAACACCAATTTAAAAGAAGGCGAGCAATAGAGTACACAAACCATTTTTCTGACAGCCCCACGCCACAGGAAGAAGCCAAGCGTCAAGACAGATTGGAGAAGGACTCAATCACACTTGCAAGCAGATTTTGAAATAAGGAAGCTTTGTTACGGAAAACGGGCACTGGAAAGCCTGCATTCAGCTTTGGATGTTGCTGTCACATCCTAATCTTGCAATGCATGGTAGTTGGACGAGCATGTGAGACAGTGCAGGTTGCAGCCTTGAGGTTCGCAATTAGTAAGAGTTGCTTTGCCTCTAAGATTGAGGGTCCCGGCAAAAAGAATCTGAGGTTTTGTAGTCCAGCATTTTCAAGTTTTGGGGCCGGCAATGTTCTTTTGAAGCTCCAAGTTGTGTTTTATGAATTGTTATGAAAGGACTCGTTCGATACGGTTGCAGCATCTGTGTCTTCAGAGATCAATCATCTGGGCTGCTGTTAAGGAAGTTAAGTTTTACCATAATCGGTATATATGGTAACTCATATGGTTTTCAAAATTTGGTAACTTGAATTAAGTTCCTGAACAGCAACCCAGTCATTCAAGAGACAGGCCCGGCCTATGGACAAGCTTGTCTGAAGGCCTTGGATACCCATCTGAGCCACAGTGCAAACTCCTTAAAGGGGGCTATGCAGGGGACTACGTATGTAGGGCAGTACTATAGGGGTTACTAAAAAAAAGATACTTGGGGTTTCAACTATGGCTCATCTGTTCATCCGTTCACAGGAACTTGGAGGGTTGCTACGCCTGCCCAGATGCGAACATGGCAGTCATACAGCTCAGAACAAGAAAACCTCCACCCTCGGGCTAGGAGCCTGTACCTGCTGTGGGAGTTTCCCAAAAATGGTGTCTATATGATCCGTAATCAGCCCCCCCAAGATATCGCTTATACTCTCTGTAAATTCCACAGGATCCTTGCTTTGAGAAACTCCCATGTGGTGCTGCACCTGATTGCATCGCGCAAGGACATCGAAGCAGTGCGACAGCGCCCAAAACGTGACGAGGCAGGGCACTTAGTGCACTGTGGTCTTGCTGCTTTCTTATGTTGGGAAATTGATCTTGAGAAAAGCAGGTTTTGACGTCTAGCCTCCCGGAGCAGGTTGGAAAATCAGCGTTCATGTTCCCGTTAACAGAACCTCTATCAGCCAGGACAATTCCATCCACTACAACCTTCACCTTCTAGATCCATCCGTACCATTACCAGTACAGCTCTGTTCACAGGTCAAAACAGAACTTGGGACGTCCCATAGGCTCACGCGTACATGGGTCACATCGCTTCCCGGATTCCAAGCTGAGGTTTGGCCCCATACATTCTCAATCCTTTGATTAGAAATGGTGGACATCTTATCCCTTCCGATAGAACTGTTGCGGGCCCGTTTAAAACGCTATGTTTATACAAACTCATGCAAAAACTGGCATATTCTTGCCAAAAAAGTTACATCAAACAAACGGTTCTAAAGCGAACCAAGACATATCAGACCCATGCTTCTGGGATGCGGGCAACATGGTACCAGTTAAAAAACCAACAAAACAAAATAAAATGAAAAGCCCCCCGCCCCCATGCTGCTAGGACGCGAGAAATATGGTACAAATTTTGTTGGATTGTTTTATGCGTTTTTGATTTTTTGGTTTGTTTGACAATTTTCAGACCAAGACTATGGGACTGGACATTTTGTTGTTTGGTATTTTTCCCAGCTACGCTTGCTACAGACCTAGACCTCGTCTTGTTCTGACATTATTCTCACGCGCTCCGTTAGTTCTAAAACGGCCTCCGTGTTACAGCGCATTTTTGTCAAACTTATCGATCGTTGTGATATGGCCGCTCTTATAAATATGTAGATATGTATTTGTTTATTTATGTTTGGAAGAGAAAAGAAGAGAAGAGAAGAGAGATCTCGCTTCTGAACCTAGGCTTGATTCTACACACGGCCTTATGCATAGTGTATTATGTAAAATATGTGAATTTTTTGAAGTGGTTCAATTAAAGGCACGAAACCTTCTCCATATGAGAGTTCAACTCAAGCTCCAGCTTATTCTCTTGAATTTCGATGTGATCAAAAGAAACACCTGCAAGGAACTGGAGTTTCCACTTCTCTCAAGTCAGGCCTATTTATCTTGTATCTCTTGTTTTGAGAAGAGAGAATTCTATTCCGTTTGTGAGAACAGAAGTTTTGTTCTACCGGTGGCCTTATGAAGGAGTTGTTGGTTGATTTGGCCTTTAAATAAATATGGCACTCTCCATTTTTGACATCAAACATTCCTATGGAATCTCATTTGCATGTGGGTGATAGGAATCTTGCATTTGGTATGCTCCTTCTCCATAATCTTAGTATCCAAAGAGTCGGAAAGTTAGTCTTTTGCGCAAGAATCGAAATATCTCAATACTTTCTTTTTTCCTGGAGCACAAGTGTTTTTAATTCAAGGAGGAAGTCTCAAATCCTCGGCCCTGCATTCTGCTTGTTAAAAACCACTATTAAATTGGTTGCGATTTTGCAGGATATTTCTCATATAATGTTACAAAAATCCCTTCACACAAGCCTTCACTACATTGACTTTAATAAATAGACACTTGAAAACTTTGCTTCAAATTTAAAAAAGATTATAGAATCAAATGGTCTTGTTACTCACCGTAGCGTCTAAAAACGAGCCCTTTTTTGTGCCAGAATCTAAATCATCTAATTGCGGCCAGTATTTTCTTTTCCTCAACATGAAACATACCTGCAATCTTCCGAAGGGCTTCCGAGAGATACTACAAGCAATTTAGATGATAAGGAGGACGTCTCAATTCCTTTTCCCTGCATTTTCCTCGTTACAAACCATTGCTAAATTTGTTGCAAGTTTGCACGATACTTCTCCAATTCTCTTACAACAGTCCCTTCAGAAAAGGCCTCATTACATTGATTTTGATAAACATGCATTTTGGACAGTTTTGCTTCGGGTTCGAAAGGATTTTTTCAGATCTCTTGTCTTGTAAGTCACCGTCTGAAGCCCTTACTACATGTGTTGCAAGTTCTAACAACAATTGTTAAGTCCTAGGCCCCTGCTCGCCTTATGTTAAAGGTAGCTCAAGTTTAAAGAGGATTTCGCAAATCTGTGGTTGCTTCTTTTCTCTACACACTTCCCGACTCAAGTTTTTGCAGGAATTAGAAACTAATCAGAACATCGCATCTATTGGAGACCATGAGAGTATCATAGATGAGGGGCATACATATAACAAGCCAGAAGCCCAAGACATGACAGATTCGGATCAAAATTTTACAGAATGTGATTGCACGGGGGTTGGGGGTACCATGCCGCACATGTGCAGCCGCGAAGCCGCGAAGCGTTAAAGCCGCAAATCGAAAGCAAAGCTGCAAAGCTTCAAAGCTGCAAAGTGTTTCAGGCTTTCGGCGGAGGTTGGGCGTCTCAGGCGTCTCAGGCGTCT